GATTCTATGTATTAGCAATAAATAATTGGATAGTAAGGATTTTAAAAGTACCATTTATGATAGTACCAAAATATTACAAAATGCATAGGTATAAATAAAAAAATGCAATATCTGTGTGCTGAAACCTACAAAAGACTAAAAAAAAAAAAAATTAAATGTTCTAAATAAATGAGGAGAGGAGAAATACCATGTCCATGGAAAGAAAGACTCAATATTATTAAGATATCTATTATCCCAAGCTCTAGCTATAAATAAAACAAAAATAAAAATAAAAATTCTCACAAAAATTTTCCCCCAGAAATAGATACACCTCTTAAATCTATATGAAAGTGCAAGGGAATCAGACTGTACTCTCTCTCTCTCTCTATATATATATTTTTGTTGTTGTTGTTTTTGTTTTGTTTTGTTTTTTTAAATTTTAACAAAGTTGAAGTACTCACACCACCTGGTCCTAAGAACTATTGTAGCCAGGCGCAGTGGCTCAGGTCTGTAATCCCAGCACTTTGGGCAGCTGAGGTGGGTGTATCACAAGTTCAGGAGTTCAAGACCAGCCTGGCCAATATGGTATTTTAGTCTCTACTAAAAATACAAAAAATTAACTGGGTGTGGTGGTAGGCGCCTGTAGTAGTCCCAGCTACTCAGGAGGCTGAGGCAGGAGAATGTCTTGAACCCGGGAGGCAAAGGTTGCAGTGAGCTGAGATCACGCCATTGCACTCCAGACTGGGCGACAGAGCGAAGACTCCGTCAAAAAACAAACAAAGAAAAAAAACTACTATAAAACTACAATAATCAAGACAATGTAATATTGATAAAAGGATGAATATCTATATTAAAAGAACAAGACAGAAAGTCACCATTTTCAACAAATAATGCTTGAACAATTAAGATATCCAGGAAATTAGAATAAGCAGGAAAAATGAACCACAACTTGTACTTTGCACAAATACCATATTGACTCACAAGAGACCGTAATCCTAAATTAAAAGCCTAAAACCATAAAATTTCTATATAAAAAGTCAGGAGATAATCATTGTGGCCTTGGATTAGGCAAAGATTTCTTATATATGATATTAGAAGTGCAATTTCTAAGAGAAAAAACTGATAAATCTGACTTCATCAAAATTATAAGTTTCTGCTCACTGAAAAGCACTGAAAGCTGTTAGAAGAATGAAAAACAAGCACAGGCTGAGAGAAAATATTTGTAAAACACATGCCTGATAAAGGATGAGTATCCAAAACATATGAGGAACTCTCAGAAGTCGATAACAAACCAAAAACCCAATAAAATGAGGAAAAGATCTGAACAGGTACTTCACCAAAGAAGATACATGATGGAAAAAAGCACCTGATAAGATGCTTAGTAACGTTGGTCATTAAAGAAATGCAAGCTAAAACTACAAGGAGATTTTTTTTTTTTATAAACACGAAAATTGCTTAAATAAAGAAAGAAAAGAAAAATACTCAATACTACCAAATGCCAGCAACAATGCAAAGCAACAAAATCATGCATTGCTTTTAGGAATGCAAAATGTTATGGTCATTTGGGAAAATAATTTGACTGTATCTCATCAAATAATGATACAGTATACTACTTATCACATGACCTAGCAATTCCACTTCTAGGTATTTAAAAATGAAATGAAATCTTATATTTACACAGAAATTTGTATTCAAATGTTTAAAAGTAGCTTCATTTATAAATGTCAAAGACTAGAAATGACCTACTCCTTCAACAGGTAAAAGAATAAAGAAAACATGGTACATCCACAGAATAGAATACTACTCAGCAATAAGAAGGAGCCAAGTACTGGTACATGCAATGACATGCATTATGCTATAATAAATAAAACAAGTCAGATTGCATCCCATATGATTCCATTTATGTGACACCTGGAAAAGGCAAAACTATAGAAAAAGAAATCAGATGAGTAGTGGTTGATGGGGTCTGGAGATAGGGTACTAGGATGACTACAAAGGGACATGAGGGAATTTAGTGATTTAATGAAACGGTTGAGTATGTATTTTTATGTTAGTGGTTATTTCACAATTATATATATTTGTTAAAACTCTTAAAACTATCCACTTAAAATTATAAATTTTACTCTATATAAATATACCTCAAAAATTCTGTTACACACACACACATACACACACACACTTAGAGACCATTATCCCAGAACGGTGAGACAAGAGATAGGGATCAAATCAGGAGATATCAGTTACTTGTCACTGTACTACATTGGAGATTGGAGGCTCATAAACTACATTCGGACTTGTTCAATTAATCCTCTCCAGCTGTCCCATTTGCTGGTGACTTTCAGACCTCTTCCATTTGACAAAATTAAGATATTGTCATGACCAAACCACCACCCTACTAGCAACATACTTGAATGTCTTCAGTAGGAGTTGTACCTCACAGATTCTTTCTCATCAATGGAACACTCAGCAAAGCCTTCTGGCCTTTATGGAAAATCACCTTTTTTATGTAAAAAATGTCATGGTTTTTAAACTGGCAGAAGTACTGCATAATAAAGGAAAGCATGAAATTTGTTGGGTATTCCTGCAATAAGTAGAGTTGGGATTCACAATTTTAATTGTTTAATGGGAGAAAAAGGCCATTTAAGGAGCAAAAATAAGTGAGAATACATAAAACTAGGAAGTTTCTGCGAAGCAAAGGAAACAGAGTGAAAAGGCAACCTATGGAATGGGAGAAAATATTTGCAAACTATACATCTGATAAGGGTTAATTTCCAAAATATACAAAGAATTCTTACAACTCAACAGCAAAATAAAAACAAATTAAGCTGGTTAAAAATGGGCAAAGGACTTGAATAGACATTTCTCTAAAGAACACATACAAATGTCAATGGGTGTATGAAAAGGTACTCAACACATTAATCATCAGAGAAATCCAAATAAAAACCACGATCAAATATCAAATTTTACTAGTCAAGATGGCTATTATAGAAGACAAAACAAAACAAAGATACCAAATGTTGGGGGAGTATGTAGAGAATGTGGAACCCTCATACACTGTGGGCAGAAATGTAAAATTGTGTAGCCGCTGTGGAAAACAGAATGGAAATTTTTCAGGAAAAACTAAAACCAGAACAACTGCCAAATGATTCAGTAATCCTCCTGTTGAGTATATATCCAAAAGAAATGAAAGCAGGATCTCAAAGAGCTATGTAAACTGCAATGTTTACTACAACATTATTCACAATGGCCAAGATTTGGAAATAACCCAAAT